CAGTGTTCCCGGGGCCCAGGGGGCCCTTTTCCCCAATGGGGCTTTAACCATTTTAACTATATTTTTCCAATTCCACTGTACAGGTGTTTTTTTCAACAAATATCAAAAAACGGCTTAACAAAAATGTATTTCTGTTACATTTTTACTCAATTCTTCTATTTTTAGATTTTCATTTTTCAACAGACAATAATCAAACCATTAATCACAAATCTATACATCCCTACATTTGAAATCTGCGTACAAATTGACTAACTAACTAAGCAACGAAACATAAACAAACATAATTATAAAGCCTTATGAATGTCCCATAATGGTAGTCTTGAAAATGAGATCATTCTGTTCTGTTCTGTTCTGTTCTGAAAGGTCTGGTGCAAATATTGACGATCAGGAAGTTAAGGGTATAAAACTTTAAAACTGTACACAATTTTAAGTGTATTTTATATCTGCTGAAAGTTTGATTATTTTGTTAGGAATTTTGATTCTATCAACATTATGAAAACTTTGCGAATAAATAAACACAATAGTTAATATGCATAAATAACAAAAAGAACACAACAATGCAAAAGCATAACGATTTTTCCTGTGTTTTACGCACCATACAAAAGCCAAATAGATCATGGGTCAAAATCGGTCCGCCTTAAGGACACTTACCTTGCATAGACTTATACAGGTAAAATTGTTTATATCAACAACTTGAAACTACATAACATAGAACTAAGACATTTAGTAAGCAGCATTGCCCAGGAAATATATAAATTGCCATAATGCATGTTCTGCCGACTGCAAGGTCACATTTGTTACATTGACTTGTTGAGAAAGTCAGACTTTAGAATGTCTCTTCACAAACTATAATTATCAGAACATAATAGTCTCATCTTGTGGTCCACTACAAAATTTCTTTTTCATGAATTATTCCACTAAGGCCAAAATTACCTTACATTTTCCACGGAAATGGGGGAAGCAGGAAGGGGCATTAAGAGGTGAACTTGTGATATGTATCCATTTTTTATGTCCTCTGTTTCACTATGAATCTCAAATAGGGTTATCTTTTTACTTTTGGAGCCCGTTTTTTTTTCCCGAAATTAGGGGGGGGGATAACATTTTTTGGCCCAAATTTAAAAAAAATGGGAATTTGGGGCCCCCAAAATTTGACCCTTTTAAAAACACCGGCAACCCTTTAATTGAAAAAGTTAAAAAATATGAATAGGGAAATTTGTCAGAGTATCAATGTTGGATGTGAGATTACTCAAAACTACCTGATTTGTTTTAAAAAAGGCGATGAAAAATGGACTAAAAGGTTTTTCTGAAATATTATACAATATGTAGGGCAAGCTTAATTATCAAAGTTTAATTTAGCACCTCAAACTCCCCATTTAAATGTAAAAATGACCATTTTTTTACATGAGTTCTCAAAGTATATACAAAAAGTTTTCCACAGAAATCCGTAACGTTTTCCAGGAACTCCGTGACAGTTATCATAAGAACTCCAAATCAAGTTATCATAAGAACTCCATCCTTCGTGTAACACTTCCTCTCCCGTGTTATTGTAGGCAAAAAAGCACGAGAAAATGGCATAATTCATGTTCTTTCATAAGTTACTGTATACACAATCTTATGAATGATATATTTCACATTCCATCACAAAGGTGCAGTAAGAAGAAATTTGGGAAAAATTTAACATTTCTGAATGTGATATTATTACAATTTTGCAAGTTGAGAGATTTTGTTGTTATTCCTGTTGATTCTTCATTTAAATGATTAAATGACATAACACCGTACTCAGCGCTTGAATATGAAATCAAGAAGCAAACCTGCTTTCCGAAAAATACATTTAGACAGAAATCATGGGTGATGGCTTATTTTAAAGAGTGGGCTCTTGGAGAAACGGGCAGGTAACTTACATTAAACGTTTTCCTTAATGCTTAAACAACCCTAGGGTTCAAGATATTGATTGGTTGTCCGGCTGAAGTTGAAAATATTTTACTTGACATATAGATTGGTGTTTTTGTTGTATGCTTTATATACATCCTGCATTGCCTTATTTACCTCATTCATGAACTGAAAAAATATTTCAAACATCCCTCTTAAGCCTTAAAGCATAGCATTGCCTTAGCGTTGCAAACACAGTCCAGTCACCGTTCGGAAACTCCACCCCCTGCCCACCAGTGGAATCCCCTCATCCCAAACCGAAAATGAATGAACATATACAGTGTCTGCTATTAAGAGTGAGCCGGGCATAATGCACAAGGCACAGTGCCTAAAATATTAGCACAAAAGCGGTCGTAAAATGCATAGGAACTCGAGAACGGGACCGCAGATTGCGGCGTATATTTTCGATCTTGTAACGGTTTTTAAATACGTTTCTGCTACATCTAAATATCTTTTAGTATTATCCGAGTGTATGGACTCAAAAAATATATTATCAATTGAACCCATTCTGTCTCTTTTAAAATTGGTCACATTTTACGGTATTATAAAAAAAGACAAGGAGTGACATCCGCCATTTGCCGCAACGTTTTCGGCATGAGTGTTTCCCCTTTGGCTACAATTGATTACTATTTTTTCAGAATTTTGTTCCCGTTATTTTTGTCAACTATCAGGTATCGTCCGGATATAACGTTAACGGTTTATTGTTTGTACACGTGTTGACATGTATAGGCGGCATTATAACGGGCGTATTCGTGTATTGATTTGTTAAAATGGAGAAAACAGACACTTTAGTAATATGGTCCAACTGATTTTGTCTAACTGAAAAAAGGAATATTTAAACATGAAATAAATAATATTTTAGGCACTCATCTCGTATTCATTACTCGAAAAATTAAAACAAAAATCAAGCATATCAAGGGGGGTAACTTACGCCGAACGTTGCGCCAAATGGCGGATGTCACTCCTTTCTTTTTTCAATATACCGTATATTTGACTGATTTTTAAATTAGCAGATTATATTTAATTGAGATTAGATAAATAAAGACCACCCGCTCGCATAATATGAAAAGATATTCAAAGGTCGGACAAACAATATGTAAAGCCGGTACGGATTCGGATTTATGCGCAATATGCGGCTCTGTTCCAGAGTTCCTATGGGATATATCAAACACTTTTAAACTACCCTGATTGGCCGAGAGAAAACAGCTGTGGTCTAAGTGTTTTTCCCAGCTAATCCGTAGGTACAAATAAACTTTTACAGTTACAGCTTCGGAAAATAAGCGCAATCTATTATGACAGGTAGTGCACATTGAAGATATAAGTGTGTTAGTGCTGTAAAATACCCAATTTTCCAAGTTGCGGATAACATCTATTGATTTCCAAAATGAAATCAAGTCATAATGCTCACTTATATTCCATAACTAATAGGTTAACTTGTTACCTACAAAAAATATTCCATTTTCTTTTTAAAGTTATTAAGTATTTTGTACTGAAGTCAAAATACTACTTTGTTTATATTCTACTTCTATATCAATCAATGAACTGTTATCAGGCATTGTGTATTTTTTAACCAAAATAGCTTTCCATATATTATTATTACCTATTTACGATCGTGTAAAAATAGTTCATTTGTTCTGTCTGTTTATATTGGTACAGTTCCTATTGTCCTGGCTTTGAGGATATAACTCTGTCTCAAATCCCAAGATTTTGATTGGCCAGTGTAAATTGTGTTACAATTTCTGACCAATCAAATACCTGAGGTCTGAATTTGAGCTTAGAGGATTTTTCATAACCTAACCTTGAACCCTGGAGAATGCAGAAATACGCGACACTTGTCTAATATTTGTTTTTCAGATATATGGTCCTAAGAAGATTATTTTATTTTAGACTTATTTATTTTTTAGACTTATTTTTTATTATTAGACTTTTATTTTCTTGTTATTTAGCGTGTAATAAACTTTATGCTTATTTCGATAAGATATTTTTCAGAAAAAAATATATATAAATATCTATATTCTATTTTCAGAATTGCCGGAGAGAGACTGTGACAAAATAATAAGTGGTAAGTGTGGTTTTAATGGAAAGCATTTTCTGCCTTATTATGCATTTGAAACAACATTTATAAAACATATTCATGTATTTAGCCGTTAACCCCAGAAAAATATGTCTCGACAAGCTATTTTATAATAGGGGTAGCTACATGTGATATCACGAACGCAATTAATACTTAATTAGTGTACGACAATAAGATATGATACCACTCGTTCTTTTAATAAACCTGAAGTTTTGCTTTCAATACTTAGTGTACGACAATAAGACTGTTTCTACGCACACATGACTTACTACAGATACGATAATATGGACCTTTTAAAGGGTATATAACTCATATGAAATATATCTATAAGAATACGTAACGGTAACATTATATTGTTTCCATAATACTAAAGGGTCGAGTCTTCTATTTTAAGGCAGTTTTAACATCATATTTGTCTCATACAAGCAGTTTGGAAGTTTCTCTTTATTTATAAAAATATTTTTTTTGCAGTAAATATATGTCTTTTAAAAGTTTAACATTTCAGCTACAACTTCAATGTGGCCATACCACGTGACTTTTCGGGTACGGAACACGCCGATTTTTCACCCGATTCAGGTTTTTTATTCATAACTTATTTATTTCTCAACCGGTTTTCATCAGATAAGGCGCAGAGTACCCGTAATTATATTGATTCAGCTTTCCACGGTATATCAAAATTCTGAAAGCCACTGAATGGTTTTTGAGAACATTCGAGTACAGTTTTCTTCTCATAGCCGAGGCCGAGGGGAACGGTACACACTCATTTGTCATAACAAGCGATTTCTATCAAGTCATATGTTTTTTGTCACTATTTCATAGAAAAAATACATGTTAAATCTGATATATTTACTATGTCCAATGTATCGAGTGAATGCAGTGATGTTTTAGCATATTTTCATAAAGTTATGTTGAAATGGTACGGAACACACTGTTATTGCAAAAGATACGGTACACACACAATTTCTGTCTTTGAAATAATTCTAAAATAAAATATATGAAAATTTAATTTAAATTATAATGTGAGTGTTATACATTTTATTAATTTAAACAAAAACCCTCGGACCTGTTTTGAAATGTATCATTATGCTTACTTTTAATGTTAATATGTATTTGTGCATTAAATTTTAAGAGATCAAGCTTAATATTTACAACCTCCATGTAATTGTCCTATTTAAAATCACCTTGGGTATGTGAAACACTTCGATGTTCGTTGCGTTTACAAAATGATTGTTCTATAGAAAAAAATGTTGTTATAATGCTGTGTTTATTGTTGTTTATTGTTGTTGTTTTTATTATTTCTTTTAGTATTAGTGAAGTGTAAGATATGTCTTTTTGCTTCATCCTGAAAAAATAAAACAAGGTCATGACCTAAATCGCTGAAAAATATCATTTCTTGATAACATTATAATAATTATATATTTATTATGTGAGATTATAAACCAATTTGTTTTTGTATAGTGCCACCAATGCTGTTTCCAGTCTTATAACTGTAGTAAATTGGCTATAAGGCTTATTGCAACACTGATATTCAATTCAAAGTTTATTTGGCTTAAACAATTAAAAAAAAACATTTGTTGCCTTAACTGGGATTTGAACTCGGGACATATCTCTTCCTAAACGTGCGTGTACAACCCCTCGACCACGAGGAAAATAGATCTATAAGATAACAGCCTGAAGAAAACCATATCATTCTAAATTAGGGTTTGTAACCCTTATTAATTTCGTTTAACACTGCTGTAAATAATCATGGAGCTTAATATTACATGTATATCTGTAAAGAATTACACAAAATTTGAAATCTTTAACCAATCGGGCACTACCTTTTCTCCCCCGAGAAGGCTTGAAAATTAATGCGCCTGTCATTTGACAATTTTGACGCTGTGATCCGCCCTCATTTTTCAGCGTTAGAGTACTTATAAAGGTAAGTAACCGCTTCGAGGAGTTCGGACTACTTTCTAAATTTTGCAAATAAGCATATCAGAGTCTCAAATTTCGCTACCACTATTTGTTTGTCTGACGACCCAAACAAATAAAAATGTAGTTGCCATGGCATAAATTTTTAATGTTTAAAGACATGAAGCTTTAAAAATAAATTTTAATTCAGGTAATATAGGTCATTTTTGGTTTGGTTTCACGGCTCACCAAAACTGACATGATCATGTGGCGACTTTCCAGTTTTACAAGTGCCCCTTTGGGTATAAATAAAGGTACTAACGGGCACCTGAGTAGAACGACCGACGTTCTGTACGGTAGTTAGAAAACTTTCTCACATAAAAATCGAAACATCGAAGTCACCTGTGGTCTCGTGCCTACTTCATGTAGTATATAAAACAGAACGCAGCCTCCAAAATCCATAGCATTTGATTGACAAAATGGGTATTATTAAAATATCATTTTATTTTTAACACAAACACGCAAACACACTTATCCATGAACTCATTTTTTAAAGCTTCTTTAAATGAAAGTCAAAGATAGGCATAATTTTACCAAAATTTCTTACATGTATATGTAACAAAATTACCTTGTATAAACTACGTTACGTTATATTACAGGCCTTGTTCCCATATGGGTTCTTCAAATTATCCGGCTTTTAATTTTGATTGCACGTAAAACTGCGGAATATCTTTGTCCATATGTAGATAATTTGATAATTTAAATACATGCAGTTAGTTTGGGACCCTGGCAGATGATTCATACCAAATATCATGTGGCAGAAAAATACTTTAAACTTTCCGTGATTTAAAAAATCCACTTGCATCAAAAGCAGCGTTTTTTCTCCAAATTCGATTTTGCAAGGAACATATATTTCCAACTTACTCATAACTTCTTGTTTGTTTTTTTATATTCATACTCGGTTTAGACAGTCATTTATATATTCGAACAAATAAATTAAATGAAAGAATAACCACACATAACAGATGTCCATGAATTTCACAATTCGTTTTGTAATCCGAAAAAATATACATAATTATTTCAAATAAAAAACAAAACGAACAAAATTTTGAATGTCTTCCGTATCCCTCACTGAAATATTAACACTTTATAGCCAAATATTAATTGCTCAACATTTAAAATCGAATAATGCGCGACGTACTCTCAAAATGTTCTTTTATTTTTTGAATAATCATGTTTACACCAAACTGTAAGCATAATGATACATTGCAAAAAAGGTCCCATGGGTCTCGTTTAAATTTTATTTAATAAAATGTATAACTATGAAAAAAAATCACTCACATTATAATTTAAATTAAATTTTCATATATTTTATTTAAGAATTATTTCAAAGACAGAAATTATGTGTGTACCGTATCTTTTGAAATAACAGTGTGCTCCGTACCATTTCAACATAACTTTATGAAAATATGCTAAAACATCACTGCATTCACCCGATACATTGGACATAGTAAATATATCAGATTTAACATGTATTTTTCTATGAAATAGTGACCAAAAACATATGACTTGCTAGAAATCGCTCGTTATGACAAATGAGTGTGTACCGTTCCCCTCGGCCTCGGCTATGAGAAGAAAACTGTACTCGAATGTTCTCAAAAACCATTCAGTGGTTTTCAGAATTTTGATTTACCGTGGAAAGCTGATATAATTACGGGTACTCTGCGCCTTATCTCATGAAAATCGGTTGAGTAATAAATAAGTTATGAATAAAAAACATACCTGAATCGGGTGAAAAACCGGCGTGTTCCGTACCCGAAAAGTCACGTGGTATGGCCACATTGAACTTTGTCAAATGTCGTGTTATAAACCCCGTACGCCTAAAGCACTGTTCACATGTTGTCTTCAAGATGGTCACATTAAAAGACTTTCGCTACACGCATAAAAATGTGACTAGGCGTGTAAAATTTTGGCAATACGCTTAAATTTAATTTTCTGACACGATTATGTCTATATTACGCCTTAAATACTGTTTCTTCGTGTATAAGACTGTCAACATTACGATTTTAAGGCTGTTTGCCTTTCAGACTGTTTCTTTACCTTTTAGACTGTCAACATTACGACTTTAAGTTAATATATACTGTTTCTTCGCATATAATACTGTCAACATTCGCCTTTAAGACTGTTTCTTCGCCTATTAGACTGTCATCTTTACGACTGTTTCTTCGCCAATCAGAATGGCAACATACACCTTTATGACTTAAGACTGTCAACATTACGCCTTTAAGATTGTTTCTTCGCACATAAGACTATTCGTTCGCCTATAAGACTGTTAACATCACGCCATTATTTTAGACTCTTTCTTCACCTATACGACTGTCAACATTACGCCTTTAAGACTGTTTCTTCGCCTATAGAACTGTCAACATACCGCCTTTAAGACTTTTCTTCACCTGTAAGACTGTCAACATTACGCCTTTAAGACTTTTCTTTGCCTATAAGACTGCCAACTTTACGCCTTTAAGACTTTTCTTTGCCTATAAGACTGCCAACTTTACGCTTTAAAAACTTTTCTCCGCCTATTAGACTGTCAACATAACGCCTTAAAGACTTTTCTTCGCCTATAAGACTGTCAACATTACGCCTTTAAGACTTTTCTTCGCCTATAGGACTGCCAACTTTACGCTTTAAAAACTTTTCTTCGCCTATTAGACTGTCAACATAACGCCTTAAAGACCTTTCTTCACCTGTAAGATTGTAAATATTGCGCCTTTAAGACTGTTTCTTCGCCTATAAGACTGTCAACATGACGCCTTTAAGATCATTTCTTCACCTTTAAAACTGTAAACATTAACATTGTATTTTCGCCTAAACATTGTTTACATCGCTACAACAACATGATATATTATGGTGGCTAATGTTAGTTTTACGCCTATACAAGTAGTAGAAATGATTCACTAGCAATTATTACTAACAGTTTATAAATAAATGCATTTATAAATGTACATGTATACTTAATTTCATCGAGAGTAACTGTTCAGCGAAACTCAACAGAGCCTCGTTACCACCTTAAACATGTACCCTCAAGCTAAATATACTGGTCTGTGTCGGCAGCCGGTGTTTGATTCTTTTTCTTTAATATTTCAAATTATGATATTTTGAACCGAAATGATTACAAAATCTATTTTTGCGACGGACGCGCCCTCAGGCGCGTTCAGAGCTAAGTCATCTACACATGGGATTTCGTTGGCTACACTCGCGCAATGTGTCCTAAACCGATTAACAGCCCAAGAAATAGTACATGAATTTGATCCTTCAAAACGCCCATACTTTGTCTGGATATCTTAATGTCTTCCATATTTAGCCTTTTCAATTTCAAATTAAGTTATCCAAGTTAAAATATGAACGTATATTATTGATAAAAACGTTGTAGTCCCGTAGTATTATTGCGCAATATGCAAATTACTGCTGAAACGATTTACCGCTGTCGAAAAAGTAGGACAGCAAATTATACTACAATAAAGGTGTAACCTCTGAGTTCCAAGACAATATTAGTAGGAAATAAATATTTCTACATTATACAAAACATTATTATTAACAAATCAAAAGTTTTTCGTGACTCTAGGATAACTCGCGCATTAATAAAAGAAGAACTACTTTCGTGACTCATACCGCGGGTTTAGCTGAATATTCAGCAGTTATTAATATATAAGATTCAGTACAACAGTTAGTATAAATAATCTTTTTTGGAAAATGAATGTAAGAAGAGAGTTTTTCAACACTTTACCGCCAAGTAGTCTTTCATGATAAGGAAGTTATAATATCAGTTCTACTTCCGATTCTTGTGGTTTGTTTACATATTTTTCTAGGTCATGATATGAATTAACCTTCGCTATTCTAAAAATAGATTCTGCTTCACCTGTTCTGATTTTTGGACAGGCGATTATGGAGTACACGTTATACATGTAATTAATAAACCAGCGGATTACATGCAATACTTTTAGAAATTCTATACAATTGTAAGAAGCAAACAAGTTGAAAATGGAATTTAGTGTGAAATTGAAAAGGACAACTAAACATTGTAGTGCTTAAGTGACATTTAAAATAAAATAAAAACGATGTGCTCTGGCCTCTACATCTTTACCTTGTAAATAAAAAAAATCTAAAAAATACACTATTAATTGCTGATGATTTTAACCAATTTTTTTTTAATGAGACATTATCCAAGAGAAATAAAAATACAAATGACTTATATTTTATTGTCTATATGCCCACTATGATATAACACGAAGCAATTCTAAATAGCATTCTCAAATGTATAATGTATTATGTTTGAAGTTTATTTGCCTGGATTTATTTTAGAAATATTTCGTTGACAGATTTTTTTCTATTTACATATCATTTCTTAGAATAAATCGATGAGGACACTGATTTACAAGTTTGACCAGAGTTTTTAGGCATGAATTTCATTCTGTATTTAAGTGCTTGAAAGTAGAAAATCTGAATTATATCAGTTTGGGACACAAAATATATTGCTCTACAAATCTCGAACTTGTATGGAACAAATTTTCTCTGTTATATATTTTGTGTTTTGTTTTTGTTTAAAAGAAGCCTAAATGTCTCTCCGGTTGCATGTCCGTCGCATTCAGTGCTGCAGCACTTTGATTTTCTTTTAACAATCGTTTTTATAGAAGCGTATGAATTACAACTTCAATCATAGCGGCGAAATGACGTCATCATAAGAACGCAGTTAACACATTCTTAAAGAGCGCGTGGGAATGACCTCTATAAACACGCGACTTGTCTTACATGTCAGACAGGTTTTTCTAACACCGGTGAAATAATGTCTGATATGCAAGACTAATTTGTATATGGTTGAAAAAAGAAAGTAATTGTAAACAAAACACACATATACACGTGCACTGTGCTTTTAGGATAATTATTTAGTGACGCGGTGGTCAAGTTCACTATAACACTGTAAAACCGTTATCATATTGTGTTTATTATCTTAATTCAAGCAGGCTTGCCATATAAGTAAATGTTAGTGTTCATCCGTGCTGTTCTACAGAAATTAGAAACTTCGACGGGAGCGATAGCGACAGGAGAATGTTTCTAATTTCTGTAGAACAGCACGGATGAATACTAACATATTTAGTGTCAAACTTTATTTGGCCTCATAATCACTCACTTTATTACGTCACTATGCCGTTCTATGAAGTACTTTGAAAAATAGAAGTCGACTAAGAAAGGACTTCGATATAGTATCGGTTTTTGTTCTTCTATGAAAATTAACGCACAGAATTTTAAAAAAATACAGCGTTTTCGTTAGATGACAAATAAAGTTGGACACTAAATCAAAATATCGACAAATTTACCAACTGTCGGCGTAAAGCAGTCGGTAAGGTCACGGATGAGAATCGCACCGTTCGTTACCCAAACGAAGATATTCTATGTAGTATGTACTGATGTAGAAGAAATTCAGATAAGTTTGGCATGAGTGGATTGAAAAATTCACATTGCCTTAGATTTAGACAGGACAAATGAAAATCCACCAAGTAGAAAAATGCGCCGTACGTTATCACTGATATGTTTTTGCGCCATACGTTTCCGGAAAATGTCTCGATATTAATATTTACAGTGGTTAATCTAGCCAGAATGAATGCTTATATGACGAGATATTTTAACTTTTTAAAGTAAGTGATTTCATTTAATATACAAATATGTGAAAGAAACATCGAATTTGAGAGAAGAAGCCGTACGTTATCACGATCATACCGGTTAAACATTATCTCGCTTGGAATCTGGTGACGCGCATTTCAGATAAAGTTCGGGACGGGAAATAAAATCCTGTGTGCCCGGAAAATTGTGGAGAAGGTTATTATATGTACCTTTACACAAAAACATCACGAATTTCAGAGAAAAAAAGGAAAAATTTACTTTTCGGCTGCATCCGCCATCTTGTTTGTTTGGGTAACGAACGGCGTGATTTTCCACCGTGAGGTTGTCTGGTGAATTTCTAGTTACATATCAATGCAGGACAGACAGGTTCGGTCCCAAAAATATTTCTATATCATTATCAATCGAGTAAGTATGTCTTGTATTTTTTGCCTTGTAAAGTTTTTAAGTGAGGTGTTATTTTCTATCAAATTCTCATTTCACTTTTGTTTTTAAATGATGCCATATTTAGCAAGTTGGTGCAATATTATACGGAATGCATACACGTACATAATTTTTATGCCCCCGGGCATATAGTAATTGGTCCGTCCGTCCGTCTGTCCGTCCGTCCATCTGTCCGAACGAGGTTAACATAGAACGGCAAGTTGGATTTTTCTTAAGTTCTACCTGTACCAGTGGCTTCATGATTTACACACTTACTTAACCATACAAAGTATATGATCTGGGCAAGTTACATAACTATGGCTTCCATTTGCACCAAGGTATGGCCCTTTTCAGCACATAGAAAATGAATAATGGTTAACCTAAACCGGCAAGTTGGAAATATCTTATGTTTTATCTGAAATTATGGCTTAATAATTTTCAAACTTACTTATCAATACAATATACATGATATTGCCAAGTTATATAAATGTGCCATCCATTTCCCCAGTATTTTCCCTTTTTATCACTTTGAAAATAGGGCCTTGTATGGTTAACCTATTCCGTCAAGTTGAATTTATCAAATATTTCACCTAATTACTTAATTTATTTAATGATATCTTTCATATTTGGTAGGTGAATACCTTTAACGGTCTTCTAATTTTTTGTGGCGTTAGGCGTCTCTAGGTCAAGGTCAAGGTCACTTGTCTAAAATATAAATCTAAACATTTCTGCTCATACAGCCTTTATTTTTAAGTTAATGTCTTTCATGTTTATAATAGTCATACCAAGGGAGGTCCTCTTCCTTTTCCTTTAGTAAAGGGTCATTTGGGTCAAGGTCACCAATGTCAAAAATAGATTTTTTACACTTTTACAGGTGTATTAACTCTATTCTATCGGCAGATGTCTTGTATATTTTGTACGAACATAAAATTGAGGTATTCTAATTTGGATGGAGTTAGGGTCAGTTTGGTCAAGGTCACCGGTGCTAAAAATAGATTTTTACACTTTTGCTCATACAGCCTTTATTTATTGACAGATTTGTATTATAATTGGTAGGAAGATAACTTACATGGTATTCTTCCTTTAGATGGAGTTAGGGGTCAGTTGGGAAGGTCAACAGTGCTAAAAATAGATTTTTACATTTTTGCCCATACAGCCTTTATACATTGACAGATTTATTTCATATTTGGTAGGAAAATAAGTTGCATGATATTCTTCCTTTGGATGGAGTTAGGGGTCAGTTGGTACAAGGTCCTCCATACAAATTAGCTACTTCACTCTCTAAAGTTAAATTATTGACAACATTGAGCGCGGGGGCATTTGTGTTTATCAAACACAGATTCTTGTTTGAAACTGTAGTTAAGTTGGCACGAAATACTTATGCACTGCAAAAGTCGTATGATTACTACATACTACACACAACATAGGATACAAATAATTATTTCCGGTATATCATAATCATTCGATATTATAAAAACGGTCTTCATATTCTAATTAATTTGCATCTAATGTAAAATTTAAACAAATAGGGAAAGAAAAAAGCAAAATAGATAAGACAACTTGTGAGGCTCGAACTCTATTGACTTTACCAACTTTGCCATCGAGCCATTTCAAATTCTATTTCATATATTGTATCCTATTCGCTTCTAAACACTCTGTTTTACCTATTTAGACAAAGGTTGTAAATGTTTCTGTACACAAAAATGCAACGTCACTCTCACATTATCATAACAGCACAGTTTGTTTCAGTTATAATAATGAGTATGATTTATATATATTTTTTTCACTGCAGATGATGCTGATAATTATGGCATAGAATTTATAGTACCAAATTCTACAAAAATATTTCTAACAAACGCTAGTCCTTTTGATGTTCGTGCTCAAGTTTATGACAGAGATGGGACTCTACAAGGAGGATATTCTTTGGTTCCTTCTAACAATACAATAATGATTGAGCCCGCTCAAAGTGATGTAAGTATTGTTCTTTGTGATTTAATATAGTATGTATGAAAACAAATGGTGTTTTACAGTTGTGCACACGTACGCAATTTTAACCGCCAGTGCGCAGTCACACACATTCAGCAATTTCATATATTTAAACGAGATTAAAAAAATATAGAAACACATATGTTGGTATTGCATACTAGACAACGCTTTTTAGATTGTGATGCATAAAAAGAAATCAAAGAACCTGAAAAGTAAAAATAAGGTAACATTAAAATTGTGTTTGTTTTGTTTATTTTGCGGTGCACCAACACAATTTAGGCTAACTTCGGATGTTCCAAACTTAAAGCAACATCAGATGTCAAAATCATAATACCTGCTGAAGCAAAGAGATGCATAGACTCCAGTAACTCGAACTCATTTAATCGTACAATCACGCGTTGATAAACAGTGGCTGCAATTCTAATGCCTCAACACTAAAAGGCAACCACTCAGCTACTTAACAAAATGTTTACAACACATCCTAACACATAATTAGACTTTTGCAGTTTTTTTTGTGGTGACAGATGAATCATTAGCATGCGTAGTTTTTAATGAAACTTGATTATTATGTATACAAACAACGTATGTTTGTCAGGGACAAAATTTGTTATCAGATGCAATTATCAGTATTAGAAAAATGTGCAGCCTAACCTGTCCCCAGCTGGGTGCCCAATGTCTCATGATTAGAACCCGAACCCGGGGTCATCGGAATACGGTTCCGCGGCTCTAACGACTGAGCTTTGCGGCTGCTTGCATATTTTCTCATCGAATAAGTGAGCAGTTTAATACCGTGACATAATATGTACCGTCACGTATAATTTTGTATACTTAAATGTTATTTTCAGATAACAGGCTTAATTACCTTTTGAAAAAAAAGAAAAGAAAAAAAGACCCATTTAGTTTTTGAGACGCATCTGCATGTTTTTGCAATTGGACGGCATTATTTACTTTTACAAATTGATGAAAGAAAACATTGTAATATTGTAATTAATAAAGAAATTTATATAGAACGTAATCGGTTACTTTTAATAATCACACGATTGCGAGTACATGGAGGAGTGCCGTGATAATCACACGTATGGTCTTTTTGTGGTCGTGACTCGCGCCTCTCTCGAAACTCTTATTTGAAGCTAGGGCTGCATAGGCCCTAGTATTGCATGGTTTTAGAGTGGCACTTGATGTGGGATTTCTTTGGCGGGCGAGCACTGTACATATATAATCTTGTCATTTAGAGCTTGAAATAACCCAGTATAAAATAATTACCTTTTTTCTGACCTTTAAAAATGTTAAATTCGTCTCCTGTCATTGAGGTATGGGTTTGTTTTAATATGTAAACGTTTTATTCAAATGTAGATATATGTAAATATGTTAGAAAAACATTGACGTAAATAAAATATGAGTAAATTTTAACCATGATTTTCAGGTAATATTCATTAAAGCTACAGCTGAAATTTCAGTTTACGCGGTGCAATCAAATTATGGCTATTCTGTTATCCCTGTAGATGTTCTTGGTCCTAATTACGTGTACCACAACATTACAAATGGTGAGTATTTGAACATTAAATACTTTGAGTGATACTGTGCAGAGAGCAATTTTTAACAGTGGTTGATTATAGAATTTAAAATTCGCCTATAACAATATGATATTTGATTGTTTATTTATTAACAAAATGAAAAGCATGGTAAGTTTACGTCGCCGCAGCATTTGTCAGGCGGTGGCATAGAGCGATTTACCACAGTGTATGTGTGTGTAAAGCCCCAGTTAACGATCACCAGTGACAACTGGTCGCGGACAATCTTTAAAACGTCTTACGACTGTCATCGGTGATATTCGATAGTCGCAGGTTATCTTATTTAGGTCCCACGACCAATTTCAGTCGTACAGAGGTTTTTGAGCTTGCACAAAACCTCTCTGCGATCAAACAGGTTGCTAGTGATCTTATAAGGTCTAAGGAAGTCGCACGATCGTCGCTCGAAAGTGCGACAATCTTACGACAGTCTTTACAAATTGCCACTTGTCACTGATAATCTTGAGTAGTCTTTAGTAATCGTATGATGGTCGTACGACATGACTATTCTTAGTTTTCTTTAGACTGATAGGCTGCCAGGCTGCTAGACTGCCAACTTCACTTCATGCTGCTAGGCGGCTGCTAGGCTGCCAACTTCAGGCTGCTAGGCTGTTAGAATGCCAACTTCAAGCTGCTAGGCTGCCAAATTCAGGCCGCTAGGCTGCCAACTTCACTTCATGCTGCTAGGCGGCTGCTAGGCTGCCATTTACACTTGATTTTGTGATTTACATCGTTAGAATACCAGGATCATTACTAGATAACAAATGTTCTAAATTTGTTCCAGTAAGTTACATATTTCTAGATCAAGCGGAGTCACCATGATCATACTTTCAGACATATCCATTAAAAGATGTGTGTTTTTTTATTTTTGTTTTGGGATTTTTCTTTTGGGATAATGCCTATAGGACGGTGATAGATATCTAATGCGATGAGGTACAAAGGGATCAGTTACAAAACTTGCGAGGATATTATTTATAATTTTATCTTGAAAAAACAAACAAACAAAAGATCGGTAACCAAACAAGATGTTCTGGTGACATATGTATAGTCTGCAATAGTTTAATGCATGTTATATGAAGTTATTAATTTTTATATCTCTGATTATTTTGATGAGGCAAATTGTAGTGAAAGTTTCCTGAAATGAATGTTTGTTTCATATGCTCTATCAGCGCTTTCTTTTCATAGTGACTAATACGTAGTTATTGCTAGCGTTCGGAGGTTAACAAATTCACCGATTAAAGATTTTTACTTTTTCTGTGTGATGTCAATCCAGAGAGTCGCTGGATCGGTTAAAGATAAATCATCATCACGGACTGTCCCAATTTTGACATCACCAACAGCTCTATTACATCGAACACAGCGTAAATGAGTTCTTAAACTTGGTATTTTAGTTTCATGGTTTTCATTATGAGGTGCTTTTATGAGAAAATAATAAGATCATGAGGTTGTTATTTAATTTCTAGTATGTCTATAGCCTAAGGGGAGAGGCTTTGTATATTAAGGTGCATAATGCTTGTGTTTTTCTGAATGCTGTCATCACAGTCCTTATGACGAGATGTTTCGAAAGGCGATGTTTTCAGTAAACTGAGATTGGGGGTAAACGTATTATGATGTATACATTCTTATACTAGCATTTTGCACTAAAGTCTTGCTTATTTCCCTTCTGTACATGTAGTTGTTATATTTTCCCTATCTATTTTACAGAGGAGTGTACGTCCTATTCATTCGCAGAATATTCTGCACAAAAGACTGTTATAGAGACAACACCTTTTGAAGGTAATAACAGTTTGTTCTAAGACTTACATTTTACCGGTGTTCGAACATATATTTTTTAACATAAATGATATACTTTTTTATCTTCTTCGGTAATTCTAAGTAAATGCTTATATAATTAGTTCTGTTTCACATTTAATACATGTAATATTATCATACTCACTGCTTTTTTTTGAAAATTACAATAATCTAGGCGATTTAATGTTCAAAATCATCATTCATTTTTCGGCGCCATTTGTCTTAAACTGTTCAACCAAACAAAACAACACCTAACCGTATAATGGTTTATATTTTGAAATATTATTGTTTATCTTTGGGGATAATAACCAATTCCAACAAAACAAATAAAGGATCTTCATTTTCTTTTCTTTAAATACGGAATTTATTTTCATCAAGACTTAGTGGTATATAAAGTAATATTTCAAGAGTCACTGTAGCTACAAGTGAAATATCATGATTTTCTTACCACGAGATGAAAATGGAAAAAAAATGATAATAGAAAAAAATGGAATTTTCTGTTTATTAAATAATTTTTCCATGTATTTACCTAACGGTTTGAATGATGGCTGAGTTTTAGAGGACAAACGTCCGACAAGAACCCGGAGTAAATACGGAAAATATGTTTTATTGCACTGAAAAAAAGTTTACAGTGAAATTTATAAGAAAATTGAAAATATTCATTTTATTTTAACACAATTTCTTAATTATATTTAACCTTTTACCCCAGGAGCATATTGCGAAAAATGGCCGTTTTCATTGAAAAGCCTCCTGTAACAAGTTCAAACTGCTATGAAACTGTGAAAAATGCTTCAATACTAATGAAACTTGGCACAAATGTTGACTACACCATAGCCTCTGTAACATCATGCTCAATGGTAAATTTCCTGTTACCATGGCAACGGGGGGACGTCTCAAAATTGCCAAAAACCACTATTTTGCATTGTTTTTTTTTTTCATCAAAACTGATTTCAAAGTGCTGCAACTTCTCAATGAATTGAGATAGAGTAAAAGGCTTTTCAGCGTCGGTTACTAGTTACCCTAAGATCGACCTGAGGCCATTTTTAGCCTGTCACATGTCCAAAATTTTCTTGGAGATGAGGGGGACTCCGCCCCCCTTCAAACCCCCCAAACAGAAGGGGGCACATCCCTCTTCTGGCAACCCCCTGATGTAATATTTGGATGGGGGACGGCGCCGAAAAAGTGGTCACTTTTTTAACAACATTTCTCAAACGAAAAACAGTGTTTGGGGCCTAAATAGGGCATTGTTTCACTGTTTGAGGCCTCAAAAATGGGGGGGGGACAAAAAGCCGTCGAAACACGCTTATATAAGGGAAAAGGTTAATTTTTATGTAAATGTATATAAGTTTAAAGATATTTCTATAGTACACACAGCAATAATTTATCGGCTTGAAAAATTTCTTAATAGACAAGGTCAATACCGGTGAAGGTAGGAAAGGTTCACTCAAGTAATGCATGATTTAAGCGTTATTATATTGAATGAACCCGAAAACACCATCGAAGAAATCCTATTTGTTAAAACGTCTTTTAATAGCATCTATTGACACGTTTTGATTATATAAGCCTTTTGTATAGAACAAAATGATTATCTATTTCTAAGGAAACAAAATACTAATTGACTAAAGTGTTCATAGAACTGATGGGATCATCAAAAATGTTGATTCATGAACATAGTGCATAAGGGGATATTTATGCGTCACAAAATTTTTTCTAATTGCAAAAAGTGGACTTTTTGTGTGCGGAAATATTTGCAAAAATATGTTTTTAAATTCAATGCTGTTTTGTTTTTCAGTGATATCATTTATTAAGCAGGTACTTGTTAGGAATATGCTGTTATTGTAACCGTTCTATTCAGTTGTTAAATACATTTATCATTTATATAATTGTTTGAAATATATATTTTTAGTCTGATAAAGAACCTGATGACAAATTTTCTTTGTCATATTTTGAAATATTTTTTTTGCTATATATATTATTTACACGTATTTTGTTTCAATAAAACATTTGTGATTAATTATGACCAAACTTTTAAACAAACAAGCAATGTGAAATAAAATCTCACTACCTGAACAGTCAATCTTATTCATGAAAGATGCTGTATAAAAACGTGTTTTTAAATTATAGAAGAAAGTCTGTTGCGCGATCAAATATTTGCAAATAATATCAATTAACAAAAATTGCAAATATTTCCACGGCGCAAAATTAACCACTTTAAAAGTATCCTTTTCATTGTTATCTCATGTCTGGTCTGTAATTATCTTTCTTCATCATTTTAGTAACTTCAGCAGATCAATACCTGTTCCAAGAAGGTCGTCCACGCGCTGTGTTTTGCGGTACAAGCAATTATTTTGTTCAGATTCCACCTCGCGAGAGTCTTGGAACTCATCATTTCATTCCACAATTAGTCATTGAAGCAAATGAAGAGGCAAAGATCCGTCTTGTTGCCAGCGAGGACAGTACAGTTGTAACAATACGCGGGAATTATGATAATCTAGACACAATCGAACTTAATGGAGATGGTTATACACGGGAAGTTGTTCCAAATATGGTATGTTCATCAGTAAATAATATTAAACTGTTATTTCTTTTTGCATTTACATTTGTATCACTTTAGAAAATAAAAATTCATGGAAATATTATACGAACTATGTTTAGTGCAATAATGCTTGTGCATGAATAGGTTCAATCACACCGAGCCTGTCCTCATTTTCAGTATTTCTCTATTTTATAATCTAACTCGTCCGGGCTTTGTCTTGTCCCCTTTACTGCTTTTGTTTGGTGTCCTGCTGGGCTCCTTGCAGGTGGTACCGTGTTGCTGGAACGTATGACGGTTGCGTTCATTGAACGCCGCCTTTCATTATTGATCTAGTTTTTTATGTTTTATATGATCTTAAAGCTCCGTTTTAGAAATCATATACTCTGTTTTAATCAAAGTCCAGTCATTTTTGAAAACAGGACACTCATAACTTTGATTATTTTTGTCCCCGCTAAAAATTTTTTGTTCATTTTTAAAAGTAATTATATGAAAGATATGTTTAAATCAATATTTTTTTTTATCCTTACCTGAAAATAATCCATTTCTTTAAAAATATTTATATTGAAACAAAGTCTGGAAGACTATCAGGACTTTAAAAGCACATATACCCCGTAAATCCGTATTTTCATAAAAAATAAAAATGTCAAAAACATGACTTAAATAATGTTTAGATAATAGGATTAAGTGCTTATTAGATGATTTCGACTCCAATCAGAACGCTGAGCATGCATTAGTGTCGTAAAGTTACCAAAATGTGAACAAATTGGTATTTGACATCATAACAAACTACTTATTCATTATTATTCTCTAATTGCCAACAGAACTAAAGATGCAAAAGAAAAGTCATGTATATAGCAAATAAGTAATATGTTTTGGAAACTTAACAAGATACCAACAATTAATAGTTTGTTTTGAAATAAAAAAAGATATTTCTGAGACATCATAGGCCTCTTAGTAAAGGGGATGTGTTGGATTCATGGTCAAATTTAATATGATGCTCAAATAAAGATTTATCAATACTAAAAGTTCCAGAAGCATTATTTGTAAAGATATTACCGAGTTAACATGTTATGTAAATAAAGGGAGGTAACTAAAAAATTATTTTCTATAAAGTCAAGTCCATTTTTTAAATAAGAAGGGAATGCATATACATTTGTATTTTAATGATTACATATATAATAATGCATATTAGCATTTGAAATACATATTTAACATATTTCTAGATGTTTAAAAATTGGTTTAGAAGAATAATTATATACATTATAAAATTTCACACAAGTGTTGTAACACAAGTGTTGTTACATCCTTAATTACAACATACAGGATCTTTAAAGTATTTGTTTATCTATATATCTATATATCTAACGTATAAAGTCACTTATAGTCACTACACTTCGAATGTAAAATTTTTAGTTCATATAAAAACGACGTGTACAGTCACATAAGTCCCTTTGTCTTAGCATAATATATCAACAGTTTGTTTTATTCTCAGGTGTACAACATTTCATCAACGAAACCTATTTTAGTGCTACTCCAGATAACAGATTATCTCTGGACGTCTGTAATTGCTATCCCTCCAGTGAGACAATATAAAACAAAGCACAATTTTCATAACTTGTATATCGACCAGACGTTTCAACCACAGTCAAGGTAAGATTCCATTATCTAGATAAAGTTAGTTGCAATTTGCGGCTTTTGGAAAAAGCGGCTAAAGCCATATCCCAAACCCCATCAGAATTGACCCATCTTTTATCTTTGTTTGATCTATGAAGCCACTAAATTTGGTTAAATAACGGGGTTATGAAACCTCACTCCAGCGGGTAGTGGTTTTTGACTAAAGGATTGCTGACCATTCTCCTACTAGGAACCTAATCAAAAATCCTATGTTTTACAAATTTATGGTTTTTTAAAAATTTTCGCACAATTCTCAAAAGTATTTTAAAGATTTAAATTTTTCACCGTGTAGTTTTGATTTATTAGATTTTAAATACATGGGTTTTCATATTCGATATTAGTTTTAGCACATTTATAAAAAATACATTTTATTATACTTTTCAAAAAACCCCTTTTTTTAAAAAAGGGGATATAGAGTTCATATTGATTAAAGAAAAGAGAAAACAGAGAAAAGAAGTTGATATTTCTGGGGTTTGAACCCTCGGTCTAAAGTTTCAATGCAAGTGGCATTAATTCAAGCCTATTTGAAAACTATTCAAAGCGGAGGTAATGCATAAGGAATGTCGAAACTAAAAACGCATGGCAAGTTTGCTCGGCAGAATATTGATTTATATTATATTTGATGGCTTTGTTGATTTAATTCATAATGACTTTATAATTATTTTGTTTCCTATCCATATGTTTAAATAAGTGAAACAATACGTTCAAATAGTTCCAAATAGTTTCATGTTAAGATCTAGCTGTAAATATCAGTAAGTAGTAAATACACCGCCTTAAAGTTCACAAATATCCTAACATAGGTCACAATATGCCCATATTTCGTGTAGTCAGTATAGTCAGCTCGATCTTGCAAACGCCATACACAATTATTATATATTATATTATTTATATATATAATAATGAAAAAAAGATACACGGATTGTTAATATGCATACATTTTTTAAACCTTTAATACATAGAGGATATTTGTTTGCTTGTGTTTAAGATGAAATTTTATTTCATTGAGTGGGCTTATAAAACAGTATTCTCACGAGTTGCGTAGCCACGAGTGATAATACTGTTTTTAAAGTTCACGAGATGAAATGAAATTACAATTTACACAATAAACAAACACATTTTATTTTTTATTTTAGTCTTAACAACAAGTTAAAACGAAATTTCTTTTATATTTATTTTAAATATTAAAATCTGTTTTACCCACTGGTAGCCTCTATTAGTAGAATTTCTCATAAAATACAAGAAGTCTTGGGCTTCAAAATAAGTTCAACAATCAATTTAAGGTGGCGATGATATCATTCATTTTATTAGAAAATATGAATAATTGTTTGTTTTAATAATAAAAACAAACAAATGTAGTAAAAGAAAAAGTCACACAATCCGACCTTATTTCCGTTACTCACAGATAATTTATATTATACCTGGCTTTGTGAAATGTAAGAGGCCGCCATTTTTAAAAGTCGTGTATTTCACTGGAGGAAAATAATTGTGTTTGATTCAGTAGGATATCATTTGGATTTGTTAGTCATATATCATTTTAAAAGAAAGAAAACTTTTTTTGAGGATTATTACAGACAATAAATAAGTGTTGACAGATGTGTAAACATTCAAAAGGCGGCTATGAAATTGGAAACAGACTGCCTTACGAACGCTAGGTTGTTTATTTATTCTTCGGGCTGGTGGCTGCCATTGCTTTTCAAGTTTTTATATGGCATTAGGCACTTATTGCTTGTATGATACTTAAATATGCCCAAATGTCATCAAGAGCAGTTTTGCATGTAGAAGGAATTGTATTTTTCAGACTGTAAAAATGAAACAAACAATTTAGAGACGATATAAGGTGATTGATAATTTGAATGAATTGAAGTTTAACTTAGTTTTCTTCTTTTTATTACTTTTGAAATTCAAGTTTACTTATTTATCAAGTTTAGCTTTGCGTTTCTCTTAACAGCCCTGACAATATCAGAATTGTCAGCAAAAATAAAATTGAGGTACCACATGGGGAAAAACCTAAAAAAGTAATTTCATCATTGAAAAGTGTGAAATTATATTTTGATAATTTTCACTGTGACATTATCAGATATGATTTTCACGGATAAATCAGTAATCCACTGAAAACATAAAATAAAGTTATGAATTCATATTTTTGATACATGTAGATAGGATGATGCTATACCAGAAATTGAGCCGACACTGGAAGTAATAAAGGCTCGGGAAGTTTTTCGTTAATTTCCATAATTTTATCATGATATACGCATTGATATTAAATATTGTTTGACAAAATTGACCAGATACCCATTAATATTCGTGAGCTTTTCGTTAGTTTTCGTAATTTGTTATGACTTTAGAGAGAATGAATGCTGACAAAGGAATTGTGACCACACAGTTGCAAGTTCTAATTCTGGACAAAGTTTTGTCTTTTTAGCTTAAATTTTCATGAACTGCATTTTTGCATCTGTTAATTCATGTGTTGATTAAGTAAAAAAAGGAGTACCAAAACATAAGTATAAATCAGATTGCCAAGTGTTTTCTTTTGTTTCATAGGCAAACATTAAAAAAAACATGTTCCCTTATGCCACAATATAAAACTCAAGCAAAAGGTAAACCAATGAACGAGCAACGAGACAAAAATGAGCCAATCAACGAGCAGGATGTCTAACGTTATCCCCGACAGACAGTGCAGTAACTTGAGTTCGTGAACCAAAACCTGCAGTACAGTTAACATGGTTAATGCACTGTGCATGTGCATGTATGGGGGTATACGATTTAACTCTGACACATTTCCAACAGAAAGGTCTGAAAATTCAGACACCACTGTGTGTTTCATATCAACCTCTTATTTTCATTTCATCATTCTTATGAATGTATTTTTTTTCAATTCATTAATTTTAATATGTTGTTGTACAATAAGTGCTATGCAAGCATAAACAGTGGTCAAGTTTTGCAAAACATAAATGAACTCATATAAAAAAACATGATTTTTGTATTCGAACCTGCTTGTAATTTTTAATTTGAAACTAACGGAAAGTCTTATACCTTGTCACCAAAACGAGTAAGTCAAGTGTTATGCTGGTAATTCTAAGTTACACGTCTATCACTGTATAATACATCAAAATGCGTATGGTTTACCTCGGCATCCCATAATTACCGTCGAAAGGTCATTAAATATATTCAAATGTCTCGGGTCAATATTGCCGCATAATAATAGCAAATTCTAGACAGTTACAAATCCATAAGTACGAAGCGATAGCTAAAGTGGTAAGTACGATTGCAATAGCACGTTTGCAAGTTCAAATCTTTGACTTACATTTTTTCTCTAGATCTTTTTTCTTTAAATTATATGCAAAAATAGTTGATAAATCATTTCGTTTAATTTCAGTTATTGTTTTTTTATTTCATTAAATGTATGTAATTTTTTCATATTTTCAATAGTTGGACGGGAGTCGTACAATCAGCACGCACAAAACATAGTGATCAAGTTTCATAACATATTAGTATTAAAAAAATTTAAGGTTTAAACATATTAAATTCAATTTAAAATTGATTGTCTTAACTCTTTTTCACTGAGGCTAGTTAGGCGGGTTTTATGTAAGAAACCTTAAGTTATGCTTGTGTCATAGTTTATGTACCTGTCTGTTGAAAATGTGTACACTTGTATACATATACATCAATGTGGCCATACAACGTGACTTTTTGGGTAAAAAACATATGACTTGCTAGAAATCGCATTATTTTTAATTCGGGTACAGTTTTCTTCGGCACATTTTCTTGTAGCCCCGGCTATGAAAAGAAAACTGTACAAAAATGTTCTCAAAAACTATTAAGGGGTTTTCAGAATTTTGATTTACCATGGAAAGCTGATATAATGACGGATACTCTGCGCCTTATTTGATCAAAATCGGTTGAGTAATAAATAAGTTATGAATAAAAAACATACCTGAATCGGGTGAAAAATCGGCGTGCTCTGTACCCGAAAAGTCACGTTGTATGGCCACATTGTACATGCACAGTGCGTTAACTGGAGTGCAGGTATTAGTTACCCGCACTCCCAGAGCATGCCTATTGATTGGCTCATTTTTTGATGGGGTTTACTTATTTTGACAACAGGGAAAGGGATATGATAGAAATATCATATCCAGATGCTCGCAATCATTTGTTACTTTTTTTCTGGGCTTTCATATTGTCAAATCAGGGAACGTGTTTTTATTTTTGTCTATGATACAAAGGACGAACATCAAAACACTCGGCAATTGGGTTCATACTCGGGGGCTACTCCACCTTCCCCCTCGTACACATCAGATGGTATCGTTAAGCCATACTTTTAAATCATATTTTAGTATCATTTTTACTATTGTGTCCGATAATTATCGACAAAAGGTCATTGAATATGCACATGTCTCGGGTCAATATTGTCAAACAATATAAATGTTAAAAAATGTAAAGAATAATGCATGATGATTTTTATCCTTTTTATTACACGAAATGACAAGAAATGCGATTGATGAAAATGGTGAAGTTATCCTTCAGGAAATGATCTTATCTGATGCTAAAACCTATCCAAATAAAACGTTTGTTCTAGACATATTACGCTTTAATCTTGGGGCGAATTCTTCAGGCAAACTGTTTGTTCCCGGAAATGTGATGTACACTAGTAAGAAGGTTTGTGTAAATTTTAGATCTATCTCTAATTTGTCGCACATTTTGCGTTTTGGTTCTAATATATGTCATTGTATTATAATCAGTTGGAAAGGTTTTCTTTTAATGTTTTGTTATTATTCTTTGATATCTTGTTAGTCATTAATGTCTTGTTGTTCTGTTTGTCGTGCTTTATACCTTGTTGATGTTAAATGGTTCTATCTTTATAATATCTTGTTGTTCTATAATATCACGTCCTTAAATATTGTCTTGTTGGTCTATGGTATCAAGTTGTTCTTTAATGTTATTATTTTTTTTTTTATTCTGTACTGTCTTGTTGCCCTATAATGTTTAGTTGTTCATTGACTGCTGTTGTTCTAAAACGTATTGCAGTTGTAATGTCTTATTTTTCTATTTTTCTAACATGTGTAAATGTTTGATCATGTCTTCTTTTGTCTCATTGCTAATTGCGTGGTAACAAACCCTGTCAGGGGCAAGCCGTTGTTTCATTGAGCAAAACCTTTATATTCATTGTTTAGTACCGGTTGGTTCCAAGAACGATTCGAGAGTCTTTAAATAAGCTTATAGCTTCCAACACAAATTAAAATAAATTTGTAGGAACTAATTGCTTATATCTTGTGATTCTATTCTAATGATTTTTGTTTTATAATAACTACTTTTTCTATTATCAATTGTTTTATTTTGGTTTGTTTTACTGTCATGTTATGTTGTTCTATATCATACTGTATTTCTATAATGTGTTGTTTGTTGTTCTATAATGTCCTGTTGTTTTATATTTTTTGTTCTTTTATATAGTTTTATTATCTAATTTCTTGTTGTGCTACGGGGTTCTGTTGTTTTATATTTTTGATGATAATTTGTTATTATCTTCTTTTTTGTTGTACTATGATATACTGTCGTTTTTTCTTTAATATATTATTTTTATCTAATTATACCCCCGCACAACGAAGCTGTAAGGGGGGTATACTGGAAGCAGCTCAGCTTGTCCGTCCGGCCGTCGCCCCGAGCAAACATTTTGGGTTTAGGGGCTATATAACAGTAAAGAGAACAAAAGTGAACAATAGGCTCATTCCGTGATCAAAGGGTTTATGGGCAAGTAGCCCTTAAGACATGTAAGGAAACAAAGAAAATAACAAAGAAAATAGCCACTTAACCCAAAATGTTGGAACGGCCGGCCGTCCGTCGGGTTTTCAATGTCCGCCCAATAACTTAATATTTATTTCACCCACAGTCTTCATACTTGGTATTTAGATTGGTCATGAATAGTAGATGATCCCTATTGATTTTGAGGTCACTGGGTCAAAGGTCACAGGGGCCTTGACTTCAAAAAGCTTGTCCGCCCAATATCTTAAGATTCCTTTGACCCACAGTCTTCATATTTGGTATTTAGATTGATGATAAATAGTAGATGATCTCTATTGATTTTGAGGTCACTGGGTCAAAGGTCAAGGTCACAGGGGCCTTGACTTCAAAAAGCTTGTCCGCCCAATAACTTAAGATTCCTTTGACCCACAGTCTTTATATTTGGTATTTAGATTGGTCATTATAAGTAGATGATCCCTATTGATTTTAAGGTCACAAGATCAAAGGTCAGGGTCACAGGGGCCTTGACTTCAAAAAGCTTGTCCGCCAAATAACTGAAGATTCCTTTGACCCACAGTCTTCTTATTTGGTATTTAGATTGGTCATGAATAGTAGATGATCCCTATTGAGTTTGAGATCACTGGGTCAAAGTTCAAGGTCACAGGGGCCTTGACTTCAAAAAGCTTGTCCGCCCAATAATTTAAGATTCCTTTGACCCACACTTTACATATTATGTATTCAGATTGGTCATGAATATTAGATGATCCCTATTGATTTTAAGGTTACTGGGTCAAAGGTCACAGGGGCCTTGACTTCATAAAGCTTGTCCGCCCCAATTACTTAAGATTCCATTGACCAACAGTCTTGATATTTGGAATTGAATTCGGTTATGAGTAGTAGAGGATCCAATTGGATTTTGAGGTCATTAGGTCAAAGGTCTAGGTCACAGGGGCCTTGGCTTCAAAAAGTTTGTCCGCTCAATAAGTTAAGAAGATTCCTTTGACCCACAATCTTCATATTTGGCATGGGGGTTAGCCATGATTAATAGATGACCCATTTTGATTTTGAGGTCACTGGGTTAAAATAAAGGTCACAGGGGCCTTGACTAAAAAAAAACTTGTCCACCCAATAACTAAAATTCCTTTGACCAGAAGTCTTCATATTTTGCATGTAGTTAAGACATGGTTAGTAGATGACCCCTATTGATTTTTAGGTCACTGGGTCAAAGGTCAAGGTCACAGGGACTTTGACTTCAAAAGTTTGTCTGCCCAATAACTTAAGAAACTTTTGACTCACTGTCTTCATATTTGGCATGGAGGTTGATCATGACCATTAGGGGACCACTACTGATTTTGAAGTCATTGGGTCATAGGTCAAAGTCACAGGGGCCTTGACTAAAAAAAGCTTGTCCGCTCAATTGCCTAAGAATGCTTTGGTGAACAGTCTTCAATATTGAGGTTATTTATGACTAGTAGATGACCCCTTTTGATTTTAAGATGACTATGTCGAAAGTCAACGTCAGAGGGATTTTACTATAATAAGCTTGTCTGATCAAATGCTTAAGAATGCCTGCCCGCAGTGTGTTGATTTTGACATTTTCACATTTGAAGCATGTAGAATACATAACTTACCAATGCACTGGCTTAGTAACCTCAGATTTGGCAGGGAGGTTGTCCTTGAGCTCTCAATGGCCACTGTTGATTCTGACATTTTAGTCACGCCATGACAGTGGCAGTTCTAGTTTTTATTGTTCTATCGTGTCCTGTTGTTTTATATTTTTGGTCTATTAAATCTTCTTATTATCTAATTACTTGTTGTTCTATGATGTCCTGTTTTTTATATCTGTGTTCTATAATATCTTGTTATTATTCCAATAATTGTTGTTCTATGGTATCCTGTTAATTTTTGTGTTCTATAATAGAAAATCTACCTTGCTATTACATGTATATAATTTCTTATTATTCTATAGTTTCCTGTTGTGTTATATTTTTGTTCTATAATATCTTGTAATAATATTAACCCTTGTTGTTCTATGATGTCCTGTTGTTTTATATTATTGTTCTATAACATCGTGCTATTATCTTATTTCGTGTTGTTCTATGCTGTCCTGTTGTTTTATATTTTTGTTCTATAATATCTTGTTATTATCTTATTTCTTGTTGTTCTATGATGTGTTGTTGTAAAAAAATATATTTTTTGTTATTATCTTATTTTTTGTTGTTCTATTATGACGTATCATTGCAAAGCATGTTCTTAGATAAATTAATATCTTTTATATCGGCATCGATATCTTTTTTAAAGGTGTGCACAATAACTAAAGGTGTGCCAGGTGACAACATTGACAACGATTGTGATGGTCTTGTGGACGAGGAACAGTGTACGGTCGATATTATACCTGGCGAAATAGGTAAATATGGTCGCCTTTTGTAACTCTTACTTGCTTCAAGTCAATCTCATTATACATTCAACTCAAATGGACCACGAATGTAGACAAATCGTCTCGCTTATGAGGTCGTGCATAACAATATCTTGTAGATTGCGCGTTAAAGTACCAGCTACTTCTTATGTTACAACAAAATACTTGATTAGCATGTACCCTATTTCATCCAAAATATTATTCGATAAATATACCATGTATACTGTTCATCGCCAGTGACGTTTCAAACAAACTTACGTACAAAGATAAAAGATTTAAAAAAATATATCTTGATGTCGTTTTTATGGAGTATAATGCAACGTTTACGCCTATTGTCGGCTTCTAACCGTTGACGTTTTTATATGGTCTGCACTGTTCAGTATTTAGTCGTTATATATTTGATTTTGTCTCCTAAATATGATAAATGGTTCTGTGCAGAATGCGAAACGGACGAGTCTATTTAAGTTATATAGCGTGTTAAGGAATGATGGATTAACGAAGAAAAAGAAGAAATGAGCAATATTTAGCCATACTTTGGTTCTTTACAGTCTAAATGAGTAATATTCTAATGATAATATCAACATAAACTTTCCCATGTAGTCTGATCGGAAAGCAATAATTTCCGGTTTGTTTATACAGTTTATCTAAGAATCCTATGCACATGTAACTGATACTTTTCCGTGTCGCGGCTTAGTTTGTACTGTAGTCGGTTACACGCGGTATATATTCCGTACATGCTACATTACCTAGATGATGTATCAAGTACGATGACTTTGTACGGGATTGTGCATTTGAATGACAAAATCATATTCAGACAAAATACATTTTAATTATTATATCCCTTATTTGTAGTGCAATGTACAAAAGAAATCTTTGCCCGTGATTTGCGCAGATGATCTTGTCCAAAAATAATCGAAACATGTTAGTTATTTTGACTTTGTTTGAGAGATGTGGCAATAAAACTTGTTCTTAAAAATGTATTATGCTCAAATTGAAGTATGAAGATATTAATAATTGCTACACAGTCCCTTTGTAAAGGTAAAATAAACGTGTTTTGAGTACACATATACGAGTAGTAAATGTAAAACGTTTAATACACAACATGTGAAGATAGTATGAATACATAGTGTAATGGAAAAACAATAATCTTTAAAAACAATGGCCAACTTCACTGGACTAGAAATTTGGGATACACCTTTCCATACACAGTTTGTGTATCATGTAAATTAAATTCAAATTAGACATATTCTGTAAGAATTTGATAGATTTCAATAAATTTCTGCAAACTGAAAGATTATAAACATATTCATATTACAGACGCAGACATAGATGGCCGTCTGAATGAAGACTGTGCAAATGGGACAACCCCAAGTATGTTTCTTTATCAAAATAATACTTATGAATGAAATATTGAGAACTATTGATGAAAAAAATATGCGTATTATAATTTGTCGTATTTTCACTGAAAAAAATATGTTTCACTACAGTCAAACATATTTTTCGTATTTTCACTGGTGTCTTTGCCAATCTTCTTTCTTCTAAATTCTGCCAGTACACAAAATTTAAGGAAAAATGTTTCAAATGGTAATGTTAGAAAAAAAAAAGAAAAAAAAATGTATATTATAAACAGAAAATTCAAGTTTTTTTCTAAAAATACACGATTCATTTTCATTATAACATCAAAATTATTATATTTCACTTATGGCTGCCGCAATGCATGAAATATTGATTTTCATACCACTCGATTAAAATAAATCGTGTATTGAAAGAAGAAAAATATACATATTTGAACATAATAGGTACATGATGTTTTAAATACAAGTACATCAAGAAAGGTTGTTTAATTTTTCTGAGCCGGATGTTAACATTACAAATATTAAAACAGTGACCATCACGTGCGCGTTTACTTGAATTATTTATTGAACGTAAAACATGTTTTGCCTTGTACGACTCAACATTTTGTCAATAGAAATATATAACAAGTTTGCTTCTCTAAAAAGAAGCATGCAAGAGGTCTTTTTGCTGCTCTGGTTCGAAATGTTTTGGGGATATTTTTTATTAATTATTTAATAAAATAGAATTTATCAAATATATTGAATATAGTATCATAATGAAAGTTTGTTTTAAACTTCATTTTTTTAAATGTTTTGAAAGATGCCGGAGAAATGGACTTTTTTCTTGACGCATAAAGGGATACCTGTTCTACAAAGGGAACTTCATAGTTTCGGGACCTTTCTGTTGAAAATGTGTCAGAGTTAAATCATATGCATATACATGCACAGTGAATAAACTGGAGTACAGCTATCAGTTACCCGCACTCCAGAGCATGCCCATTGATTGGCTCATTTTTGCTGGGGTTTACTTATTGTGACGGCAGAGAAAAGAAAAGCAACAAAAATATCATATTCAGATGCTCGTTCATTGGTTCCTTTATTGCGGGGTTTCATATTGTGACAACAGGGAACGTGTTTTATGTTGACTATGATACAAAAGAGAAAGAACATCAAAACACTCGGCAATCTTATTTATACTTGGGGGCTATGTCCCTCATACAAATCAGATAGCTTCATGTTTCGATGCTCTTTCTATTACTAAATTTAAAATAGATGATATATTAATATATATGTTAAAATTAGTATCAAAATATAAGTTTCTTGTAAAATTCAATAAACAAAATTTCGGTTGATGTTTCGGTAAGTATATGGAAACATTTCTTCATTTTCCAAAACGGGCTTAAAGTATTTTAATCAAACAATTTTTGAGTCCAGGATTTACATAGAAAATGTCTATATCATATGATTGAAATAAGCAGTATAAAAAGCTTCATGCCTCCAATCACAATATTTTATGAAAATCAAACTTGAGTGAAATTTGTGCCATTTGCGCCAAAAAAATCTCCGTTGCGTTATTAAGTCATACCAGTTCAAAAGTTTAAGGAGCAGCAAACTTTCGGTACACGGTTCACTCGGTCATATAAAAGTACATGGTGATACTGTAGCTAAAATGTTCACTGTTACTATTTATCGGAACATGAAATAGTAAAACACTATTCAGAAAACAATACGGTAATCGACTTATACAGTTTGAAATATTAAAACGGTATGAAACATCCACGTAGCGCTAAGTAACGTAAATGATATTTTCCGATTTTTCTATGTACCGATTTGTTCACTTCGATGTTAATTTTTCGTTTAAATGAAGTCGTATTTTGAAACGGAGCATGCGCAAAACAATTTTTGTAGACTGCTCCTAATGATTTTACGCTTTAAATGAGATTCATTCACTTCAATCAGATACGCAAAAATGGATGCCGCCAGCAATCAGTCTGAACACTGTGGAGAGGTCTGATGACCTCTCCAATTAACGGCAGTTCACTGTTAACAATTCATCTTGACGGTGTTGCTTTAATAAGATGGTTTAAAGCATTTGATAAAAATGTTTTCCTTTAGTTAACCTTGCTTTACTATAGTTAACCTTTATATACAATGCTATTTTATGCTCACAATGACTTTAATAGACGATGTTCTTTAATAGAGAAAATTCCTCTCTTAAAGTTTTGTCACAATGTGATTAAAATCAGCACCTAAATACCACTACGCATTAAGATCTGACGATCAGCAAAAAATGTCACCTTCTCGTGATTTTTTGAAATAGCCAGTCATCGGCGAGCTTTCACAAGTTTGTTTTTCTGATTTTAATCGCTGGAAAACCAATAATGAGTCGGTTTCACGATTTCGAGAACAAACGCTGCGTTGTCCATGAAGTCGGCAGGTAAACTGGCAATACAATCTTGCCCATTAAAAACTGAGTCCTGAGTCTATTATTACCAGTTTACTTTTTTTAGATAACTTCAAACAATTTGTTTTCAATAATAACAAAAATCAACAATTTGTTTTACTTCCGCGGACAACGAAATTTTGATATTTCGTCAAATGCCTATCTGTAAAAAACCCGTTTGCTTGCATGGCTAAATATAGCTTTCTCGGGAAATCCGAATCATAATAAAGGTGAAAATATACGGTGATTATCAGATCTACCTGTAAGAAATTAGTAGATCTGCACTCTAGTCAGGTTGGTCTAGACATAGTATGCACTGTGTATGACTAACGTAAAAAATGTTTGTCCTACAAACTAAAATATGGAAGAGATGTCAAATTATTATTGACAACTTGCAAGACGAAATGTAAATGATGATTTTGTAAAATATAGAAACATTGTGGTGCAGTATTTATTTAATAATCCAGTCGAATTACTGTATGCATTATCATATCATTGAACAAAACACGCACAACACATCATCTGTTGTTATACCCCTTGGCGTTTGGCGTCCGTCCGTCTGTCCGTCCGTCCCTTAGCAATTTGGCTTCCGGAGCATAACTTAAGATCCATTTGGCCCACAATATTCAAACTTCATAGGATGATTCTCCATATTGGATAGAAAACCCCTATTGATATTGGGATCACAAGGTCAAAGGTCAAGGTCATTATGACCTTAAACCGAAAACAGTTTCCGGAGCATAACTTAAGTTCCATTTGGCCCACAGAATTCAAACTTCATAGGATGATTGTCAATATTGAGTGAAAGACCCCTATTGTTTTGGGGGTTACAAGGTCAAAGGTCAAGATCGATCAATATAACCTTAAAACTAAAAACAGTTTCCGGAGCATAACTTAAGTTCCATTTGGCCTACAGTGTTTAAGCTTCATAGGATGATTATCCATATTGGGTAGAAGACCCCTATTGATTTTAGGGTCACAAGGTCAAAGGTCAAGGTCACTATAACTTTAAAACTGAAAACAGTTTCCGGAGCATAACTTAAGTTCCATTTGGCCCACAATATTCAAACTTCATAGGATGGTTGTCCATATTGGGTAGAAGACCAATATCGATTTTGAGGTCACAAGGTCAAAGGTCAAAGTCACTATTACCTTCAAACGGAAAGCAGTTTTTTGAACATAACTTAAGTTTCATTTTGCCCACAGAATTCAAACTTCATAGGATGATTGTCAATATTGAGTGAAAGACCCCTATTGTTTTGGGGGTTACAAGGTCAAAGGTCAAGATCGATCAATATAACCTTAAAACTAAAAACAGTTTCCGGAGCATAACTTAAGTTCCATTTGGCCTACAGTGTTTAAGCTTCATAGGATGATTATCCATATTGGGTAGAAGACCCCTATTGATTTTGGGGTCACAAGGTCAAAGGTCATGGTCACTATTACTTTAAAACTGAAAACAGTTTCCGGAGCATAACTCAAGTTCCATTTGGCCCACAATATTCAAACTTCATAGGATGATTGTCCATATTAGATAGAAGACACCTATTGATTTTGGGGTCGCAAGGTCAAAGGTCATGGTCACTATTTCCTTAAAACTGTAAACAGTTTTCGGGGCATAACTTAAGTTTCATTTGGACCACAATATTCAAACTTCATACGAGGATTGTTATTTGAAGGAGATTATACTTTATTTAATTCCCATGTCTTACAAATGCTTCATCTTTACTAAAAAATCACTTTCGGGCATAAAATGCACCGCCTAGCGGTGCTCTTGTTATTATCTCTATTTCTCACAGAGCCTGTGACGTCATTTAAACTTCCACTACCTGAGAATACAATTGTGTGCCCAACTACTACTCCAAATACTGAGGAACCCACAAATACTGAAGGAAATGCTGCAGCTAATAAGCCTAGAATTGTTATAGACAATGGTGTTTCACATGGTATTATTCCGCCGACATCTTTCCCGCAAAAAACCATCCAGTATGGCGAAATTTCAACTGCAGGTATTTAACAAAGCATAGACTAATATCGTAGCGTTATCTCCTTATATTGACATTGGAACAAATGTCGTGCTAAGCATTTTCCTTACTTATTACAAAAATGTAGATAGGTTCAGGCGAATTCCGTGCTGTATGTTTGTTAAAAGGCACATTATTCCTTAGAAACGAATTTGTTTTTCTTTAGAAAAGGACAAACATGATATTGGAATCGTTTAAAAACAATAGATTAAGAGCATATAGCTGCTTCATTCACAAGGAAAGTAACGCTAATTGTGAATTTATTTGTCATAAAAGTAGCAAAATATAAATAAAGAAGTACATGTATTTTGACTTCCATATAAAATACGTGTTTCGTTTGTTTTGAAAAGAATGTGTTGAAAAATATATGTTTTTCATATGTTAAACTCATGGTTATCGGATGTTTTTCAAATGAATAAGTTTTCATATGTTGAATATTTGTAAACTTTCATGTGTTTTTCATATAATACATTTATGTATCATATATTCTGCAAGCTATTAACAGACTCAATTAGATAGATGCTTGGTTCATACATCTATGTACAACTTGTATATTTAGTAAATTTATTGAAAAAAATTGCCTTCACTTCCAATACTTCTCATCCAGTTGAAAAAAATAACAATAAAATACTTTTATATAAAAAATAATAAATGATAAATATCTTTGTGTGTGTGTTGGGTTTATTTTTCCTCGCCACCGGTATAAAACCATATGGGCGAGCATTAAATATCTTTTTGGAGGGATGGCTTTGTAACACCGCAAAACGTCCGTACCGCAAAACGTACGCGTGTGGTCGTTTTGCGTCGCATATTGTACACATGTGGACGTTTTGCGGTGCATATCGTACTTGGTACGTTTTGCGGCGAGAGTGTGTCTTTGCGTCGCATATCGTCCATATTTTCTGTATTAAAATATATTCATTATAAACGTTACTTTTATTGGTTCTGTCACTTTCATATTGTTAAAGTGCAATATTTTTGTGATCCTATATATTTGAGCGAGAGAGCTATATTGTCTTGGAGATTTGGCCTTTAAGTCGCCTAGTCATAATTGAGCAAGAGAGCTTTTGTCGCGGGTGGGGGGGGGGGCAGGGTCGGGATGGGGATGCTTTCAGCCGCCTAGTCATATTTGAGAGAGAGAGAGAGAGGGGGGAGAGAGAGAGAGAGAGAGCTTTTGTCGAGGGAGGGTGAATGTAGCCGCCTTGTCATATATGAGTGAGAGAGCTATTGTTGTGATGGGATGTAGTTATTTTTGAACATCATCAGTATGTGGAAAAAAATGACGATAGTGCGCATTTCTGCTTTAACGCAACTCAAATATTTTGAACTGAAATCTAGTAAATGCAAGTTTGAAATTGTCATAAAATGTAACTTTGAAAAATGATTTAATCTATAGGTTAGTCGGAACGTCCGTCCCTTTACTAAAACCGTATTATTTTATCGCCTGAAGAACAAAACATTTCGCCTATAAGTTACATAGATATTGTGTAATAGAGTATACTATATAACAAACATTCTTCCTCATAGGAAATGATGAAAAAGAAGTGCAATGTGTTATATTGATAAAAACTAAAGCATATTTTAAAATAAATATCTTAATGTAAGCCTTTTGTTTGAATGTCATAATGTAATTTTATAAGTGAAAAATGTAATTTTATAATTGAACAAAGCAAAAAGGTCATGGTGGCCTTATATCGCCCACCTGCCTATAAAGGCTCCACATGACAAGGGTAGATAGCATTAAATTTTACAAATAAAAAGCAAATACATTTCATGTACTTGCTCAGAATCTGGGTAACTGATACCAGTACTCAATTCTACGTCTGTAGTGGTCATCAATATCCAAATATCTGTAAATGACAAAGATATGGTAATATAAGCAAAATTCAAAAGTGGCCTTGAGGTCAAGGTCATTTCAATGTCAATATTTAAGTTGAACTATTCAAGATATCCATCCTGTCATAAATGTATGAATGACATCTGATCATTGATAACAAAGAAAAATGCAGTTTTATCACAATTCAATAATTTGACTTAAAAATATGTCTTTATTTTTATAATTCAAAGGCAAATAACTCTTGACATATTCAGTCGTTTTAGCTCATAAATGAAATTGATCGAGACCTTATTGTTATACATATTCTGTATAAAAAAAAATCAGAATGGAGAAAAAAGAAAGCACTAACAAGGTGAAATATTGTGCGGTTTTTTTGTTGCATTTTTGTTAGATTTAGTCTATAATCTAACTTTGTTGAGATTTTATGGTCATAGATATTCTGTTGAAAATTGTCAAGATTGAAGAAGAAATGAAAGCGTTGGAGTGGTAACAATGTGAAAAATAACAGATATTGTAATTCAAGGGCAGATAACTCTGGACATATTGCGTAGGGTATGTGGATGTTAGAGTGGTAACAAGCTTAATTTGGACGGACAGACAGACAGGCGCATACTTATGTGAGCTAAAATTAACACACAATAACACCTGATAATAACTGGTCAAAATTAACGAAAATTATATTAACTTTTAAATATGGACGTTATGCGGCAGGACCATGCCTTTTTGCCAGAAAAAGGTGGACGATATGCGCCGCAAAACGTCAATATACGTACGTTTTGAGGAACGGACGCTTTGCGGTGTTACATGGCTGATCATTTTTTAAATTAAGGGAAGAACTGTCAGGGGAAGAAAAGGTTTTATTGGAGAATCGTCAGGGTGATGAACTGGTTAGGGGAAGAATAGTCTGCCACTCATTTTCTTCCTTTTGGATATGTTAGTGTTTATTATCAGGCTCGGCTGATATGGGCAGAAATGGGCTCGGCAAATCTCCCCCTTTCTACCCATATCAGCCTCGCCTGATAAAATTGATATCAAAAGACAGTAGGATGTTATTCTCTATTTAAGTGAAATTTTAACAATCAAAAACCCAAATCGAAGCGACCCGTAGGGAGTGACCGTGGGTTCTTAATTGTTAAAATGTTTATGTAATAAAACTAATTTAATTAGTGTTTAACCTCATTTGGCCAAGCTGGAAGACCTTAAGTCTATAGAAAGTTGTTTACAATACAATAGGTGGAGTTAAGGGAGCACAATTTCATCTTCACATCACTTCATATTACACATTACTACATATAACATATTATTACATATTACACATCACTACATTACTACATATGACATATTACTTCATTTTACATATTACTACATTATGACAGTTTACTACAAAATACTTCATATTACACAATACTACATATTACATATTACTACATATTACACATCACTACATTACTACATATGACATTTTACTTTATTTTACATATTACTACATTATGACAGATTACTACAAAATACTTCATATTACACATTACTACATTACTACATATGACATTTTACTTTATTTTACATATTACTACATTATGACAGTTTACATGTGTACTACAAATTACTTCATATTACACATTACTACATATTAGTTTCCATATATCTACATATGACATATTACTACATATTATACATTACTACATATGACAGTTTACTACATATTACTTCATATTACACATTACTACATATTAGTTTCCATATATCTACATATGACATATTACTACATATTATACATTACTACATATGACAGTTTACTACATATTACTTCATATTACACATTACTACATATAATTACATAGTGCACATCACTACATTACTACATATTACTACTTATTACTACAAATTACATATAACTACATATTACATATTATTACATATTTCAGCTCCGGTAGAGACATGTGTTACTGATTGTGTATGTCCATGCGGCTGGGTAGATCCTCCAAAGAACTATACAGACGAAGAATTGACGGCCAAGGTTACCGAGATACAGGAGAGACTAAAAGTTTTCAAAGAATTTCTAAGTTCTACGGTAAGCTATATAATGACTTTGGTTTGTTTTGTACGAATTTAAGGCGCACCCACACAATTTAGGTCACATGGCGCCGAAACAGGAAAGATGATTTTGGCTAACCTCGGGTAACCTTAAAGTAACACCAGGGGTCAAAGCCAACTCGACCTCTGGAGCTAATATATGCATAGACTCCAGTAATTCAAACCCATTTAGTCATCTCTTACAATCACGCAGGGATAAACGGTGGCTGCAATTCCATTGCCTCAAACCTTAAAGCCAATCCCTGAGCCACAAGGGGGGAATGACTTTGGTAGTTTTTTTTCAAATATATAGATAAAATAATTATTTGTTCGTTTAAATGAACGGACGGACTTTATTTCACAGACAGAAACCAGATGCAATATTTTTATAATTCAGTGTTTTAGCTGGATAGCTGTCATTCGTTTAAAGTTCTGTCAAACAAAACATTTCTCTTTCATCCACGTTACTAAAATTGTTGAAGATAGACATGTATCAGTTTTGGCAAACAAATGTTTCAAATTTACTTTAGATTTCGTACCTTGCATATCTTTGGTATTTGAGCTTAATGTTTCAACAAAATGTTCAAACTATACTTCTCTAAAACTACATGTCCATGGTGTTAAGATTAAATCTTTCTAGTACAATGTATATTCAAATATGATCGAAGCAGCAACAGGGAACGCTCTTAATGTACCTTAAAGCTTGACAAATATTCCTGACAAAATCCTTAAATCTTGATTTAGAGCACATGCTGCTTTTCATGAAATGGCACATACATGTCACATTGAAGGTTCCCTGATTACCGCCAAATAAACATCTACGGATGATTTGACATTCAAAAAATTACCGCTGAATTCTGCTTAAGCCAATGCTTGAAGTAGGGGCGTTGTTTTGATATTCCGATGATAGATGTAGATGTCTTGTGTAACAGTATTCCCGAGCGAGAAAAGAGTATTATTTTGTTTGTTTTTGGTTTTTAATAATCAAAATCTTTTCGCCTGTTTCTCCACTATTCTGTGTGTTACATATACTATCGATGGTTTCGCAATGAGTCTTATTTGATTTTAAATACTAAATAGCATAAGGACTTTAAAGATATTCATTTCAGGTAATCTCATACTGTACAGTGTCTTTAATGTGTACTTTTCTGCCATGTATTTTCCTCAGGTTCGTGCGAAGAGCAGCGCAAAAGACCATAGAACGGAAGCCGCAGCTGTTGGCATTGTGGGTGTTGTATTCCTTGTGTCAATAGTTGGTGCCATTTTCCTCCTTGATCTGACAACAATTGCGCGTGACGTCAGAATGTTGTTGGGGAACCTTAGGCAATTGTACCAGCCGTGATTTGAAGACGTTAATCCACAATTTGACGACACCATATTCTTTTTTATACAGATTAAGCACCTCCCGCTGCTGATGCACCTGCAGATATTTTACTTATATTTGACATGACGTCGTGACTTGTATTGCTGACAACAAAAGACACCATTAGCTGTGGTGTTGTTGTCGTTGTGTTTTATTTTAATAATTATTGTTAAAAATTGTTTTCTTTATTTTTTCATTGAAAATGTTTGACTGGAAAAATGATTAAGATTGTGGCATAAGTCCACCAAACCAGTGTTAAAAAGGTCAAATCGTTTGAAGCAATCGGGAAACAAGGAAAATATAACAGAGTAACTATATGCCCAATGTATATGGCCAATTAACATGTAAACAGAAAAAAAACTTAAAGTAACTTGACTGTTTGACATAACTAAGTTCAATTAAATATTTTCAATAAAAAAGGAGATAATGAACGTGACTTACGGAAATTGTTTTTACATAATGATATCATAATTATTAGTTAAAGCGGCTTTCAGCTTTCCTAAAGGTTAAATTTGTTATTATTAGATAAGTCGTTTCATATGAATTTCGAATTAAAAGAATAATGTTGAAAATGAAATTGGCCGCCGATTAAATACATAAGCAATAAGGAAACCCTTCGATACCTCTAATCTTACGGTCCGCTCTCTATATGTAAGTAAGTAAGGCGAACGATGCATTTCCTGATCTTCTATTTTTAGAAACGAAAGGCACTCACGCGTTATAAATAGCTCTCTCGACGCTGTGTTGAAGAAGACTTAACAGTGAAATGATACATCTTTTCAAGTTAAAATTAATGAAATACGTAGTTTGAAACAACACTTAATTGTTTTTACCAACACAACAACATCAACAACAAAAAAGCAAAAAAAGGCTGAAGGCCGCTTTAACACCATGTATTTGTTTTAGATATAGATTGAAGTATATGAGTTATATTAAAAATGATTTTAAGTGCAATTTATGAAATTTAATTACTTAAAGACACATTATGCCTCAGAAATCCATATGCGTTTGAAAATGTTTAAATAATAGATTAAAGAATGTTATATGATGTTTAACTCAACACACTGTTATGTGTCGTAAAGGTAGCAAAATGTAAACAAAGTAGTATTTCGACTTCCAAACAAAATACTGATTGTCTATAATTATACCAGTTGCCAACAGAACTAAAGACGCAAATATAGTTAGTGTATATAGTTGGAAACTGTAACAAGATACCAAAAGTAAACAGTTTTTTTATAAATAAAAATGAAAGTATTTTTGAGGCATAATGTGCCTTTAAGAGAAAGAGTGAATGGGTTGTAAGGACATGTTGCTGTTTTTTCTGTTTTCTTTTTCATTTTTAGAAATTGTACAGACATGATGTGATTAATAAACTATATCCATGCGCACAACATATATTTAAGATAGACCATGGGTAATTAATGCATTACCTCCACTTTGAAGAGTATTCAAATAGGCTAGAATCACTTGTCAACTAAATTGAAATTGAGGGGCCCCAGCAGGGGCAACTTTCTTTTCTTTCTTTTCTTCTTTTTAACATTATTTATGTATCTCTCTGATCCCTTATGGAAGAAAAAAGGGTTTGATATAAATTATAAAATTATTGTAGGTATTTATTTGCGAAATAATGCCAAAATTTATAGCAAATATGATACCAGATATTTTCAAAGTTTAATAAAATAAAAACTACACGGTAAAAGTATTTTATATTTCCAATGATCAACCAATATACTTTTAAGAAAATTTTGAAAACAGCCCCTCATTATTGTTAATTTAGTGATATTTGGAATAAGGCATTTTTGATAGGGAAATGGTAAAATAAGTGTTTAAAGTGGATGGGGTAGGGTAGCATTTTTATACATATTAAGAACATTTTGTTTAGAACCAAACATTTTGCTTGTGTAATTTGTTACCTGAATGTTAGTTTTTGTTTTTTAACAGTGAGCAATAGAAAAACATTTTTTTATAATGATGATATTACAGATAATTTAGAGTTTCCTCATTTCTGAAAATAAGCCCTTCTAGGTCAGAAATATATTCATAAGTCATAAACCACAAGGTTAATTTTATTGAAACTTTGCTTACAGGTGACATATAATTGTCCTATGTTGTCAATTTTACAGTTCCTTATTGTGCCCATTATCCATGGTCTACCTTAAGAAGGAATATAGAAGTGCAGTAACATAAGTCTGTTGTGGTGAATTATGTATAATTTTTTTATTCCATAGGTTCTAAGATATGTCAATGATGGGTCTAAGACCTTAACATGCTGAATATTTGTAAGAGACTTGGCCCGCTTTATACTTGGAACATACCATTCAATTTTAAGTGACTTTGATCTATCCAAAGAAAATAAAATAAATAAATGAAAAAAAAATAAATGAGCAAGCAACAGTATAGAGCCTGGTTACACAGTACAGATGTGCTCTATACTGGTGGCAAATGTTTAAATCAGTTAGGTTCTAGCAGGGATTGGGTTTAATGTGAAAAACGTGTACAATTCTTACTTTTTATGGTAGCTTATATCCTAGAGTATTGTGAACAAAGTATTGCTGTTTTAATGATGATAAAATGTAAATATATTTTTAAAAAAGTACTATTTTGTACCAGATAATGTTAACAAAATATCCTTAAAATCTGATAATGGTGATGAATTTCAACGAATCTGATACATTTAAATGTTATGAAAGTATTAATTTAAAGCATATAATCATTTTATTTTTGATTTGTATATTGTCTCATATATTCGTCTTGTATTTTCAGCATCATTAACAAACGTGCATAGCAGTGACGAAGAATTAAATTACATTCGTCATATCAATTCAGCATAACTTTGTTTGAACTTCTTTTCATTTTTTTTTGCATTACTAGTGGGTAAATGCGTATAAAGTAAAATAATATGAAAAATGTTTATAAGAAGTATTATGTGTGCGCATTTGATTACAATTTGTTAGACATCAAAGCAATAATAATTATACCAATTTTTCAATTTAACGTCCCAGATAAGAAACAGCTACACAGCGTTTGACATATTTAATTGTCTTTTTTTTCTTTTTCTTGTTTTATATTAGGTCATTATTGTTAAGCCCAAATATATTTTTACATCTGATATATTCATACAATGTTACCAACACATGTTCACGTGACTGTTTATTATTATTTATTATTACAAATGCATTTATCTCATATTTTTTTGTGTTGTAAATATGCAAAATGGGATATGTATTCAATGAACGTGAAACTTGTTTCTGCATGGCCGAATTTTACTAGGCACTTCTGTGTCTCGTCTGATTGATGGCAAAATTTTACTAGATGGAAATACTCCTATAATTACTTAATAATTAGTGTCTCTGAGAATATGACATCGTAAGTTGTTAAAAGAAGCGGGAAATGGATGATAATCAGGAAAATCTTAATGGAAATTGAGTGATTCTGACTAAATCGGATAATTCCAGTAAAAGTAAAATTGCAGCTACATGCTGGATGACACTGAAAAACATAGTATTGAGAGAAAGAAATCATTAAATTATCAAATATATCATCATTGAACATAATGTTATGATATCGTTAAAGCAGCATACCTCAATATCCATGTTTATTTTCATAACAATTTGGAAAATGTTTTTAACAGTAAAGTAGTGTGAAGTGAACAAACATTGCAAACTGCGTCAAATAGCCCCTACAGTTTTATAGTTTTGCTTGTTATGCTTTTCCTTTTGTTGTTGTTGGTTTTTTATGTGCTATACATAAAGTTTCAAAGTTTTATTTCAGATATATCTTGAAGGCCAAAAGCCCATGAGGTCAACATTTTATACAGTGTACATGTTGAAAATAACTACATAATAACATATTGTTACAATCTTGTATCCCTCTAAGTCTCATAGCTAAAAGTATAGTAACAAACATGATCTAATTTTATAATACTGATTATGATATTACTCTATCCATTCGCATTACTTCATTTTACAAAGTGTGCTGTTGAGTGCACAAATTAGTAACACCAGTGACTAGAACTTCATGACATAATAAGTATATTCATATGCTTCGCAAAAACCAAACAAATTATATATCACAATGTCATATATCATTTATATTTTTCATTGTGTCTATGTTTACTCGAATACGAATGAGAAAAATATATCACAAGCAAATTCATTTTTTTAGAAAATAGTGTTACAAGTAGTAGATCTACATAACAAAATTATTATTATTTTTAACACTTATCAATATATTTAGAGAAATCTTCAGATAACATTCAGATAACATACATAAAATAACAATATTACTTTTTATCACACACCCGTGCCGATTTTGCGACTCCGTAAATATGGTATTGCACGGCCGTGCATATATTTTGACGCGACGTCATTAGCGTTATACAAACATAGTGTAAAGACGCGCGAAATGTTAGCGTTATACTATAGGCGCGTCAATGCAAAATTACTCTTATTTCACTTTAAACGGTCTTTATTTTGGGTATGTGATAAATAGAATATTAAATTCGTGTAAGTTAATTACTGAATTTATTGCACTCGTTGAATAAAATAATATTATGCTCGCCAGAGGCTCGCATAATATACTTTTATTCAACTCGTGCAATAAATTCAGTATTGAACTTACACTCATTCAATATCCTCTATTTATTACATGATTTTCGGTGGTTTATAAAAATATATTAGTGATATAAAACTGGTAATTTCACTGTTTGAAACACTGAAATTACCACTTTGATAATTTCACTGTTTTCATTTTAGGCCCCGAACGTTGTTTCAGTGAAATACCAGAGTGCACAGTACTGGGTACCAACTTAATGACGTGATGTCGTAAAAGACGTCACGTTGTATTATTATTTGGCGCGCTTTTCATTCAGTATTAGGTTTAATGTCTTTTTAAAACGTTTCTTTGCATATAATAAAAAGAAAATGTGTTTAGTTTAGTGTAAGTTCGAAATATATTTCACCTTGTGAACACCAAAAGTTCATATTTCACTCGTGGCTGCGCCACTCGTGAAATATACCTTTTGGTGCTCACTCGGTGAAATATATTCCGATCTTACACTGAACTAAACAAATATCCTCTATATAATGTAATGTAATATTTGCAAATACTTGACATTGCATGGCAAAGATCAGTCACTCGGACCTTAAACACAAGCATAAAAGCAGTAGGAAACTTGTCCGTCTTACATGCAAGAGAAAAGCACATTTTGCCCGTCCGCACCAGCTGTTATATTTACACTCTTGCCTAGACAACTTGTGTAAATTTCGCATCCGGCGTTACCGCACACAACCCGCCCAATCCAACAAATAAGACATACAAATATTTTAATGTATTATTATTACAAGCACAGGATAATACATCTACATTCATATAATGCCTGTTACAGGCAAGTTTCATAAATGCTATTACTAATTGAAATAACTAGTTGACATAACAAGTGTGCGTATATGTTAGTGCTATAGAGAACATATTTAGATAACAAACATTTTTGTATGTCCATTTCTTAAATATACAGTGTACACATCACTTGTATATAGTACTTGACGGACAAATATCCTTTATTAGGTTAATGCATCTACATTTATATAATGCCTGTTATGGGCAAGTTTCATATATTCTAATTGTTATATCAAATTGTCATAACAAGTATACATACATATATATATATTTATATTTTTATGTTCCATAAAACATATCTGATTAAACTTATTTTTCTTTATTTAATAATATACACACTACTATAGTGTAAACATTCAACATATGTTTTACTTATCATTGTAGATTTTTAATTCTAAATTACCCTATATCAATCTGCTACTGTCGATATACACGCAACACTATCAAAGGCTCTACTTTTCTTAGCATTGTATATAAGCTCCAACATTATTACTACATGTATATAAATTAGCAGAACGAATCAAAAATGCCTTGTGTACATACATACTTAACTTTGTCAATAAAACTTCATTATCAGATGTAATTAGTTGAATAAATTGTTTGTCTATATCTATAAAACCTAGGAATATAAATGTTTCTTATATCTGTATAATTATGCTTGGCACTGTAACACAAAATGAAATTTATCTT